TTACCCTTCTGATTTCTAACGAACATGCTGTAGGTCGAGCCCCCTCTCGACTGAGAGCTGGGTGTGTTGCTCCCTCAGCTAGGTAACTTACTGCTAGCCATTCCAGCAATTTACCATAGATCGAGTTGATGGCTTCTCGAAAATTTTGTTCTGATGATATACCATTTCCATCTATGGGCTGCTCTTTCAGAGTGCCACGAGAGCCCCTTAGGACGGTATCTTTAAAATTCATGTTATGGTAAGTGTGCACGTGAAGTCATTGTACACTTTCTAAAATCCACACTGTGGTAAGTTCGCACGCTAGTACTTTGCGTTCTTTCTAAAATCATGGTGCGGTGAGTGTTACGCGCAGCAGCTTTGTGCCCTTTCTTGAGTTGGTTAAAGCCCTGGTTCCACCTTGGGCACCACTCCACCTATGTCTCCTCTGGATACCTACTTTAACAGGGTGTTGCTACTAGGGGTCTGTTGAGACAGTTCCTTCAGCAAGAGCAATGCAGAGCAAGCGGTAGCCCCTGTGTGACAGGCAAAGACTTAATATGATGCTAGGCTCTTGGTCGTATCCCCTTAAAGGAATCTATTCCTGATACCAAGCCTTGAGCTCTGCCCAGGAGTCTGGCCCTAACAGGTAAGTTTTTTGGGGCATGTAGCCTAGGCCTTTGGTCGTAGGGGATAATGTCACGGACAGCCGTCTAACGTCCTAGGGGCAACTCCCATTGCTATGGTAGAGTTGATACTTAGTGCTCGCCATAGGTTTCTGGCATGTGACTCCCCTCAGCATATGGGTGGCGTGGGTATACCATTGACCACGCAGTTGGAAGTTCCCTTGAAAGGGAACGTATCAGGTTACTTATGGTAGCCATGGTTCCCTGAATAGGGAACAAGACACTGCGTCCTCTAGGTTTCCTGCCATGCTTCGGACGCAAGCTTCAGACTAAGAAGCGAATTACATGTTCTCCCAGCACCTATTTATACTATAGTCACACCGGTAGTGACATCATGGGCTGTCGCCGGCCAAGATGTTGTTGGTGTTTTTTGAATGCATGCTTCAGACATGGGTCATGACGAGGTGTTCCCCATAGCGACCCTTAGAGGACGCAGTGTCTCATTCCCTATTCAGGGACCATGGTTACATAAGTAACCTGAGACGTTTTCTGATAAGCTGTTCCCGTAACTTGAACTTGAACCAGATTTTAAAATGTTTTTTGTAAAAATATTATTGTCAATATTAGATAAAATAAAGTGTCAGTTAATAAAATTTTTATTATTATTTATTTATTATTATTTTTTTGTATTGATTCTACAGATCCTCTGCACTTACGCCACGGACCACTAGGGGTCCGCGTACCCCCGGTTGAGAAACACTGATCTAAATCACACAAAAAGAAGAAATCAAAGATGCCTAGCAGTACACACATCACATGAATTAGGTTAGCTGCTATTTGCAGTTGTTTAATTTAAAAATAATAGCCTAATAATAATAATTTAATAATTGTTCATTTATGATGCACTTTAGTAGCTTGATACCTGCGATTGTTGATCAGTTTAGGGGAAGTGGGGAAATATTTAAAAAAATGTAAAACGGTAGCCGACTAGTAATTTTCCACTACATATCCATTATCCACTGTAACCCTGTAACCAGAAAACACAAATTACAATGCGTAATTTAAAATGCAGGTAAAAAACCTGTGAAAAATTCCTTCATATTAAAAGAGTATATTGTGGCCTATTTTACAGACTCTTCTTAGAGTGTAGCATACTAACTACTAATACAATGCTTAAAACTAATTGCTCAGAATGTATAGTTGTACTAGTTTACTAGCCAATTAAAAAATTCAATTAAATAAAAACTTTGTTCAAAAATGTGTAAGTGTTCAATAATTCAATGTTGTAATTAAAAACAGTTTAATTTTAATATTACATTATGTATTTATATTATTTAAGGAACACATCTAAATGTTGGGATGTTTCTCAAATTATCTTCTTTTATGTTCGATAGTTTATGTTAGGGCGTTTTACTCTAAATGTTTAAGTGTAATACATTTTATGTTGAATCAAATAAAATAGTTCTTTCTAAAGCTACTATTTGTAATGACTACTTAATACATTTTCATTTAACACAAAAAAAGCTTAAACACAACGACATCACAATGTCATTTAACCCTGAAAATATCCCTGAAAATGGTTGGGATGGTTTGTCGAGTGTGTATCAGTGCACAGGTCAAGTGTAGTATGCAGTGATGGTTTGGTGAGTGTGGATCAGTGCACACAGGTCAAGTGTAGTATGCAGTGATGGTTTGGTTAGTGTGGATCAGTGCACACAGGTCATGTGTAGTATGCAGTGATGGTTTGGTGAGTGTGGATCAGTGCACACAGGTCAAATGTAGTATGCAGTTATGGTTTGGTGAGTGTGGATCAGTGCACAGGTCAAGTGTAGTATGCAGTTATGGTTTGGTGAGTGGATCAGTGCACAGGTCAAGTGTAGTATGCAGTTATGGTTTGGCGAGTGTGGATCAGTGCACACAGGTCAAGTGTAGTATGCAGTGATGGTTTGGGGAGTGTGGATCAGTGCACCCAGGTCAAGTGTAGTATGCAGTGATGGTTTGGGGAGTGTGGATCAGTGCACCCAGGTCAAGTGTAGTATGCAGTGATGGTTTGGGGAGTGTGGATCAGTGCACCCAGGTCAAGTGTAGTATGCAGTGATGGTTTGGGGAGTGTGGATCAGTGCACCCAGGTCAAGTGTAGTATGCAGTGATGGTTTGGGGAGTGTGGATCAGTGCACCCAGGTCAAGTGTAGTATGCAGTGATGGTTTGGGGAGTGTGGATCAGTGCACCCAGGTCAAGTGTAGTATGCAGTGATGGTTTGGGGAGTGTGGATCAGTGCACCCAGGTCAAGTGTAGTATGCAGTGATGGTTTGGGGAGTGTGGATCAGTGCACCCAGGTCAAGTGTAGTATGCAGTGATGGTTTGGGGAGTGTGGATCAGTGCACCCAGGTCAAGTGTAGTATGCAGTGATGGTTTGGGGAGTGTGGATCAGTGCACCCAGGTCAAGTGTAGTATGCAGTGATGGTTTGGGGAGTGTGGATCAGTGCACCCAGGTCAAGTGTAGTATGCAGTGATGGTTTGGGGAGTGTGGATCAGTGCACCCAGGTCAAGTGTAGTATGCAGTGATGGTTTGGGGAGTGTGGATCAGTGCACCCAGGTCAAGTGTAGTATGCAGTGATGGTTTGGGGAGTGTGGATCAGTGCACCCAGGTCAAGTGTAGTATGCAGTGATGGTTTGGGGAGTGTGGATCAGTGCACCCAGGTCAAGTGTAGTATGCAGTGATGGTTTGGGGAGTGTGGATCAGTGCACCCAGGTCAAGTGTAGTATGCAGTGATGGTTTGGGGAGTGTGGATCAGTGCACCCAGGTCAAGTGTAGTATGCAGTGATGGTTTGGGGAGTGTGGATCAGTGCACCCAGGTCAAGTGTAGTATGCAGTGATGGTTTGGGGAGTGTGGATCAGTGCACCCAGGTCAAGTGTAGTATGCAGTGATGGTTTGGGGAGTGTGGATCAGTGCACCCAGGTCAAGTGTAGTATGCAGTGATGGTTTGGGGAGTGTGGATCAGTGCACCCAGGTCAAGTGTAGTATGCAGTGATGGTTTGGGGAGTGTGGATCAGTGCACCCAGGTCAAGTGTAGTATGCAGTGATGGTTTGGGGAGTGTGGATCAGTGCACCCAGGTCAAGTGTAGTATGCAGTGATGGTTTGGCGAGTGTGGATCAGTGCAGAGATGCTCGTTAATATTCTGTCCAGAGCGCGAGACGCGGCGCCTGCGCGGCTCTTTCACCGTGCTTAAATCCTTAGAGGCGACTCAAGAGAGGCAGCCCAGCTCTCTGTTCGTGCGCGAGCTGAAATGGATGGAGTAGAGAGGAAAAGGACGGAGGCTCAGAGGAGCATGATGAAAGACAGCGATCTTAAACAAGACTCCGGCATCCCTGAGCGCGTGACACTGAAGAAGGAGATCGGGCTTCTGAGCGCGTGCACGATCATCATTGGTAAGGAAAGTTTACACTTGTTTTCTGCTCGACTGTGGGCCAGTCTGCCAACATGTGAACTGATCAAGACTTCAAAACACAAATGCATCGCAGATATTCGCCATCTGGTTAGTCCACATATATTTGGTGATTTTATGCACACTATAACATACATTTTAGACTTTATACTTTTTAATGCATGTTAAATATTTCTTACCTTAGTCAGATTAGCTTTGTTTTTCTCCTGTATTATAGGCTAATAATTAATTATTGTTTAGTATATATTACATATTATTAGTATTATAGCTCTTTAGTATATTTAGGTAATTAATAACTTAAATAGTAGTAACTTTAATAATTTAATTTCCCTGTATTGCGTGTTTGTTTGTTTATTTATTTACCTATTTATTGTCTTTCAGAAAACAAGATACTGAATTATCGTCAATCATCTCAACCACTAAGTGTTAAACATCTTAAATTTGCAGATATGTTTAATCTGATATGTTTACTTTAGGTCTAAACTCACATGCACCGTGTGGGCGCTCTCAGATGTGTTTGTCCTCTTAAAGGAGCCGAATGAAAGCTAAAGATTGTTCCCTGCGGGTCTGATGGCAGCCGGCTCTGTGACAGGCAGCAGTAGATTATTTATGCCTGCTGTTACGTAATCTCGTTGTACGACGCTTGGGTGCTTGAGAGAAGAGCTGCTGGAAGTGGGTTAGTGAGGGGGGCTGATCATTGTCTGGCTGTGAAAACTCTCACAGGTACTACAGCGGGGCCACACGGCTGAATTTGATGTTGCTTGCTGTTGTATATTTGTATTTGGTGTTGGGTTAGTACTTATAATGAAGTGCTGTAGAATTCTAAATAAAAGAGGTGGAAAGATTCAAATCAGTTTTGTTACATCAGCTCAGGGATCACTGGGAGGCAAATGCATGCAGAGCTAGTCTTTACTCCAGTGAATATTTATTTATTTATTTGTTTGTTTGTTTGTTGTTTATCTTGATGTTTGACTACCTGAGACCATACTGGTAATTTGAGATTTTAATTTAAACGTTGAAATAAAGTTATGACCAAATTAAAAATAAATACTTAAGATTCTGCATTATTTTGAGGTCACTAATTAAACTAGTGGAAATGGTCATGTAAACTAATTAGCAGTAAAGGTCAGATTATTATTGTTTTTTTGCAAGTTGCCACAAACACAAAATTCAGCCTGGAATTAGACTATAATAATAATAATAAAAAAAGGGCACAGCACATGGGGTAAGTTGTCACAAAGGGAACCTTGTTCATTGGGACTAATTTGGCAAAGATAAACCCATTGTTATTGTTGCTATTGCTTTTGCTACTGTGTGTATTTATTATGTATATATAAATAAACACACATGCATGTATACATTTTTTTTATATTTACATGTATTTACATGTATATATTTATATTCATATAATTGATATTATAGCCTATATAAATATATTTAATATATAAACAACATATTTTCTTAAATATATACATGTATGTGTGTGTATTTATATATACATAATAAGTACACACACATGTATTGTGTAAACAAGAACTTTATTTTGGATGCGATTAATCGTTTGACAGCACTACTATATATATATATTTATATATTGAGTGTAAGATGAGGAATCCAGTGACCGCAGAAGATATATATTGTCAATTTTAAATGTGACAATCAGTTTTTAAAAAATAGTTTTTAATAAATAAATAACAGTGCATTTTTACTGTGCTCACTAGTTCACCCAAGAGTGTTTACAAGTATATTTCCTGTTACAAAAAAATCCTCCAAAGAGATTTTGTGCATATGTTTATAAAGTGACATTCTGATGATTATGCAAACTTAACCATCATCATTTATTTGGTTAACAAAATATGAAGCTTTATATATAAAATATTCTGAACAGAAAAAAAAACAGTCTTGCTCTATGGATCACTGGGCTCTCTTCTGTTCAGGAAACAACAGTTACATGTCTCTTTCTTTCCTCAGGTAACATTATTGGCTCAGGGATCTTCATCTCTCCTAAGGGTGTTCTGGAGCATTCGGGTTCGGTTGGCTTGGCGCTGGTGGTGTGGGTGTTAGGAGGAGGCATCGCTGCTCTGGGCTCTCTTTGCTACGCTGAACTAGGGGTCACCATCCCCAAATCTGGAGGCGACTATTCCTACGTCACAGAGATCTTTGGCGGTCTCGTGGGGTATGACAGGTCCATGTATGATCTACTAAACAGTGAATGGAACTCAAACGTCCGTCACAGATGCTGAATGTGTTGTGTTGCTCTCTAGGTTTCTGCTGTTGTGGAGTGCAGTACTGATCATGTATCCCACCACACTGGCAGTCATCGCTCTCACTTTCTCGAACTACGTGCTTCAGCCTGTTTTCCCATACTGCGTTCCTCCATACATAGCCACACGCATGCTGTCCACCATCTGCATACGTGAGTGCTTGGCTTCTCTATGTATGTATTCAATGCATAAATGTATTCAGCCTGCTATTTAAACATAGGTTTAGACAGAATTTATATAGCATAGTGCTAAATGTATATATATATTATAAAATGGTTTTAGTGAACCTGAGGATTCAGCAGAATTTAACCTCAAGATTAAAGTAAAATTTGAAGTGTGTTTTCTGCTGAACTAAGTGAAACTGCAAATATAATGACTGTTTTCAAACAGGTTTCCCAAAACCCTGACTTCTGAATGCTTGCGATAAGATAGGAGAAAGTATGTCACGTCATTCTGAACCTGTATGACTTTGGAACACAAAGGATTTTTTGAAGGATACTTCCACTTTTCCAAAATAATGAATGTGAACTGGGGTTGACAAACTTCAAAAATAAATATAAGCAGCAAGTGTGCATAATTATCGTAAATGTATCATAAAAGTAGTCCATAGGTCTAAAAACAATATATTTCAATATATTTTGCACTTTAAGTGAAACTTGTGAAACTAGTGGGCCGGGACCCATCAAACTTTCAAGGGCTCCACAAGATTCCTTAAATATAAAAAAATATATGATTAAATATATTCAAATTAATATTGTGGCAAAATATGTTTTAAATAAGATAAAGCAGCTAAAAATCAAGATAGATAAAAAAAAATGGCATCATATTTTTTTATTTTTCATGGTCTTGGAAAACTTGAATATATGATAATTTTAAGAGTGTGATTTCTAGTTCTGAAAAAGTCATGGAAGTAGTTATGTTAATTATGTTTGTAGTTACGTTAAGCTCGCAAATAGAAATTACTATATATATATATATATACACTGTAAATAGGTTGCTGTAAATTTTACTGGCAGCTGGATGCCAGTAATTTACTGCAAAAATGTTTACAGTATTATTACTGTAATTGCATTTACAGTACAATAATGTATTTACTGTATTTTATTTACAGTATTATTACCGTATTTTGATTTGCAGTATCAGTACTGTAGAGTTAAACAAAATATTACTTACTTACTTACAATATCTGGTTATCAGAAATGACTCAAAGTCATTGGTTATAAAGAATAAGGAACCCTGAAGAACATTTGTTTCTTGAAACTTCTTGAATTACAACAATTATTTATATAATAAAGGTCCAAAGTGTAGAATAATTAAGAATGCTTACTGTTTTTGAACAAAGTCTCTTCTGCTCACTAGGGCTGCATTTATTTGATCAAAAATACAGTGAACACAGTGATATTGCGTTTACTGGACTTTAGTGTCACATGATCCTTTAGAAATCATTCAAATATATATTTACGGGGTTATGTTGTATGAAACATGTTTTGTTTAATGCTTGTCTTTTTTATTGTGAAAGTACGTCAGTACATAGATGTTTTTCCCTGAGAATGTCCCGGTTACAGTTACGGCTCTGGAACCGTGCCAGCAGCACTTGACGGCTCAGTGATGGAGTGGCGTGGCTCTATAGCATGTGATTGCTGCATTAGCTCTCATTATTCAAGCCCGTTATGTGGAGTCATTCACACAAACCAAAACAACAGCAGCAAGAGAGCGCCAGGAAAACGCAAGGCCTTCCATCTCCTCACAGACCTGCTCTTTGCTCCCGTGTTTTGTTCTCATTCAAATCTATTTGTTTCAATTGGGCTTAAACTTCTCTCTTTGACACTGATGGATGAGCCCATAGAATTACAAATCCACTCCCCTTTTTAGCAGTCCCACATTTCTGTCAAGAACCCCATACAAACTAATCCTAAAACAGTATTTCCTGATGCCAACAAGTCATATATTTTCAACTTTGAAACAGTTATAAAAACATTGTATTTAAAGTCACACGTTAAAGAGATTCAATCAAGACCTCATACGATCTTTAATGTTTGTGTGTATGGATGTTTGCAGTGTTTTTGACATGGGTGAACTGCTATAGTGTGCGTTTGGCCACACGGATCCAGGACGCTTTTACCGTGGGGAAGCTGCTGGCTCTGGGGCTCATCATTACTGTCGGTTTAGTGCAGATCTTTGGAGGTAAAAGGAAGAAAAAACACCCTGTTCCCTATTATGAAACTCAGTTTTATTCGGAGGAGCAAACTGAGAAAAAATATGCACTTTTAGCATATTTATAGCAGACGGTTGCTGCAACCAATGAGATCTTTCAACGCTATCTCAACCAATTTGTACGTATTTTATGAGGTGGCTAATTTTTACTTTTGTACGTTTTCTGTGAGGGGTAGGTTTAGGGGTGGTTGTTTGTACGAATTCCTACGAATTTGTCACCTCGTAAAATACGTACGATATTTCACAAAACGTACAAATTTGTAAGAGCGAGGTCGTACGAATTCGTACAAATTAGCCACCTCCTAAAATACGTATTAATTGCCTTGAGATCGGGTTGCAACAGCAGACTAACATAAAATGCATGTGAATATTAGTTGTCACTATATAACTCCTAACAACGAATAAACATTCCTCAAAAGCCTGGTGTGTCATATCTGATACTCTAATTATTAATGGATAGTCAAGTAAACCTGAGTTGTGTCAGTCCAGTACATGCTAATCTTGAAATATTGTTAATTATCCAATTAACAAAGCCGTATCTGTCTCCTCAGGTAACTATGAGAGCCTGACTCCACAGGTGGCGTTCATGTTTAATAAAGCTCCCTCCATAGGGCAGATTGCTCTTGCTTTTCTACATGCCTCCTTTGCCTTCAGCGGCTGGAACTTCCTCAACTACGTTACGGAGGAAGTGGTGGATGCGAGGAGGTTAGTCTGATACCACTTTTGCAACTCGGCTGGACTGACAAATTCTGCTGGAACAATTTTACTGGCTCATGCTGAGTGTCATGTGTATTCTGTTTTGCTCTGGTTTGGTTTCGTGTTCTGTGCCTTAGTTAGTTTCCTTGGTTGCTAATTAGTTCACACCTGTTCTTCAGGTTATCATTATCTGTCTATTTAAGCCCTGTGTTTCCTTCCATTCCTTGTTCAGTATTGTAGTTGAGTTGCACGTGATTATGATTCCTGTCTTCTCGTTCTTCTTCGGCGTTAAATAAATAGTTATTTTGGATTATATTGTGTATTTACTGAGGAAACTGCTGCCATTTACTTACAACCTACAATTATTATCTACTGCATAGTTATTGCCCTTTTAACCAGGAACTTTTTTCCGCACATGCTCTGTGGCTGGATATATACATTTACATATTATATATATTTTTTTCCCCAGGAATCTGCCACGAGCCATATACATCTCCATTCCTCTGGTCACATGTGTGTACACGCTCACAAACATTGCGTATTTCTCCTCCATGTCTCCTGAGGAACTGCTGTCTTCCAACGCAGTGGCTGTTGTAAGTACAAGCCTTTGACTCTTTGTGTCTTAAAACATTTTGTTCATTAAAGGCACCAAGACTTATAAGCAGGGATAATGTGTATCTATTGATTCGGGTATCTGAATTGTAGTAGTGGAGTGATATTGTACAGGCTTAGTAAAGTATGATTGTAGTAGTGTGCTGCATCCTTCACAAACAATGCATAAGATTGGCAATTGTACTGTGTAAATTGTGATCAACACTGATTTTGTGGGTGCATTTGTGCCTGTCTTGGAGACTTTCTTTAGTAAATACAGTGCAAAAACAACACAAATGGCAATAAACTGTGCTTATCAATGGGCAAGACATTATCCCCTGAATGTTCAGTTCTGTTTCATTTGCCTTAGACTTTCGGTGAAAAGCTTCTCGGGGTGTTTTCCACCCTCATGCCGATCTCTGTGGCACTCTCCACTTTTGGGGGTATCAATGGTTACCTCTTCACCTCCTCCAGGTGAGAGTATTTCTATTTCATTTTACTGTTAGCTTACCTCATGAGGAAATGGGTCACTTTTTAACAAGTGAGGCTCCTTGTGATAATATCTTGTGACAAAATGTGCACAAATCGAATACTTCTTTGAACGTTCACACTAAAAGAAGGAAACAAACAAACAGTAACTTCAGTCATTTTAAAAGTGTCTCTAGATCTGTCAGTTATATTATTCCTAAAGTCAAGATTGAGATTTAGGTTTCCCTACTCTATTGGCATTTTGTCAACTTTATTTATATAGGGTTTTTTACAATACAGATAGTTTCAAAACACAGCTTCACAGGAAAATAAGAGAATCAGTGGTGCAAAATACTTCAAATTTGAGACAAATCCTAGATCTGTTGTAGAGCAGCCCTAATAAGACAATAGTGTCATTATTCAGCTCCAATCAGTAGATTCAGTTCAATAACTGTGTAAAGTTCATCAATTATGAAACAAGTTCAGTTCAGCTAAGCAGAAGAAAATAGTGTCGTATTCAGCTTGAATCAATTTGACATTGATTCAATTCAGTTCAATAAAATAAAATAAAATTGTATTTATAAAGCATATTAAAAATCAACCTTGGTTGGCCAAAGTGCTGTACATGACTGTAAAAAAACAAGAAATAAAAACAGGAAACACAAATAAATTGACAAAAGATTAAATGCACAAGAGAAAAGATGAGTTTTAATCATGGATTTAAATTCAGATGTAGAAGCAGTTCTAACATGTAATCGTAGGTTGTTCCACAGCTTAGGGCCAGCCACTGTGAAAACTTGATCCCCCCTGTGTTGTAGGGGCTTTACAGCCAATGTAAAGAGTGTAGAATTGGATTGATATGATCACGTCTACGGCTGCCCGTGAATAAACAGGCAGAGCTGCATTTTGGACTATTTGGAGACAAGAAACTGAGGAGAGAGATAACCCGACATATAATGAATTAACAGTAGTCGAGTCATGTGGAAATAAAAGAGTGAATAACTGTTTGATTTGTTTGTCTAGGTTAAGACTGCTGTCAAGATAAAATCCTAAATTTTTAATGTTGGATTTGAGGAATGGTGAAAGGATACCTCGACTGATAAATGTTCCATTAGAGAGCTCTTTTGGACCAAATTGGATAATTTGGGTTTTATCGTCATTCAATAACATGAACTTGTTAGTGAGTCACAGATTGAGTTCATGAAGACATGCTTCTAGTCTCTTGTGTTGTATAGGTATGTAGAGTTGGGTGCCATCTGCACAGCAGTGGTAAGACACACTGTAGCAATGTTCGTAGTCACGGGAAGGAGGAGGCGGGAACCGGCAAACATTTAAAGAAAGTATTATTACTGTAATTGCATTTACAGTACAATAAAGCGGCAGCCCCTCGCGGACGACTGCCGCACACAAAACACAAAATAAAGTCCAGGCCTGGTCCTCTCTCGTCCGACACTGTCGTCACTCCTCCCTTTTATCCTTCCGGAGCTCCGCCGTGAGACTTGAGACCGGTGAGTGATGCAGGTGTTGCTCATTATCAATTACTCCACCGGCCTCGCTCCGTTCCCACGGCTCTCAGCCCTGCCCCCACTCGTCACATACCCCCATCGCCCCTCGCAGGCAGGGGGGTACTCCCGAGACTGGGCTCTACTCCCCCCCTCCCCCCTCCGGGGGAGCCGATCACGGCGGTCGCGGCATACCTGGGGGTAAGGACAGACAGACAAGGCGAGAGAAAAGGAGACGGAAGGATGAGGAGAGACAGATCCAAGAGAGGGGAAAGAGGGAAAAAAAAAAAAAAATTATCGGTCCGGTTCCCGGTCCTCAACCGGCTGAGAGGCCCTCACCCCCGGGGCCATGCGATGGGCGGATGGTAGCAGGCTCCGGCCTCCTGGCGAACGGGGCCGACTCCTCCGCTCCCTCTCGGATGGCAGTCACACCTCCTCGACCCAGGAGCGCGGCAGCGAGCTCTCCGTCCCACCTCGTCTTCCATCGTTCCAGCACCACTGCCTCGGGCAGCCCGGCGGTCTCTCCGCTTGTTTCTGCTGCCCGATCTCCTCAGCACCGCGATCCCCCTCAGCAGCGAGGGCTCTCTGACAGCGTGTCCCTCCTTCCTCCCGGGTTTCGGCACCAATGTAACAACGTTCGTAGTCACAGGAAGAAGGAGGAACGTTTTTTTCACAGGAACAAAAAAGGATTTGTGTTCATCGCTGAATTCAAGTGCTTCACACTGGATCTCACAGCGCTGCTTATATGCTTACGTGACCAAGTAAACACATCTGCTCTTGTGAGCTCTGGCAGCAGTTTAAACTTTGATCCGAGCGGATAAACGATCCATGTGGCGTGATTCAAATGAGTTTCATTCCGCTTTTGGCACATAAACATTATATCGAACATTTATCGAACTCTTCATATATCGTTTTATCGAGGACAATTATATCGCGATAATTATCATTATCGAATTATCACCCAGTCCTAATTTATGGTAAACTAAACTAAATTTAATGTAATTTCTACTGAAACCTGTACTTCACATATTTAAATATATTTGTAAATACATTTGTAATGATGAAATTGCAATTTAATACATCTGAAATATACATTTACTTTAAATGTACTATTAAACAACACACTATAGTTCAAATTATAATTTTTACATGCGCTTTAATATTTTAGTCAATATACTGTAAGTGTATTTATTTAAAGCATGACAACAGATTATTAAAAATATTAAAGTGGAATTTTTATTTTGACATTATTACAAAGTGATCTTTTTAAAAGTTTACTAAAAGGGTTCATATGATGTGATTTCAAGTTTTCCTTTCTCTTTGGAGTGTTACAAGCTGTTCGTGAATAGATAAGATCCCTAAAGTTGCAAAGGCTAAAGTCTCAAACCCAAAGAGATATTCTTTATAAAAGTTAAGACTCGTCCACACCCTCCTAAAACGGCTCGTTTAAACACACCTCCCCACATGTCTACGTCACTATGTGGGAAGATTTGCATAACTCAGCCCAAATGTTCATGAAAAGAAAGAAGGCGTAACTTTGATTCTCGCTGTAGTATTGTTGCCGCTGGAACCTGTTTCCTGATCCTGGTAGAGTAGACTACAATGCCGACTGTTCTGACTCCGACTGTTAGTCTATGACGTCACTTTGTAGGCAAAAGCCCGGAAGCGAGTTAGCCTTTTAGCACGTCTGATTCCATGAGATGGTCCTCACTGCAGAACACAAGATCCAGGGGGCGTGGTTGGATCCAGATCCAACTCCTCCCACCTTTCATATACCTACCCGTCTCCACCCCCTGATCCCTAAACCCACCCATCTCCACCCCTAAACCTACCAATCTCCACCCCCTAGATGTGGATCCAACCACGCCCCCTGGATCTTGTGTTCTGCAGTGAGGGGCTACTGGGTTCCATCGTCCCAGAGTCAATGGGTTTTTTGAATGGGAGTTTGATTAAATCCCCTAAAATAAGCTCAGTGGTTCACACAAGCTCAAAATACTTTCACGTTTTATTCTACGACATAAAACACACCAGTTACACCCCACTCGTGATTTCTTTTTTAGCTGTTATGTTTCTTAAAAAAGACGGTTGCTAACAAGTTGTTAAATGGGACTACGGGCAGTAGCCCTTCACTGCAGAACACAAGATCCAGGGGGCGTGGTTGGATCCACATCTAGGGGGTGGAGGTTGGTAGGTTTAGGGGTGGAGATGGGTGGGTTTAGGGATCAGGGGGTGGAGACGGGTAGGTGTAGGTATATGTAAGGTGGGAGGAGTTGGATGTGGATCCAACCCCGCCCCCTGGATGTCTTGTTCTGCAGTGAGGACCATCTCACTAGGGGCGCTGTCGGAGATATTAAACGTCATCATGCCGAACAGTTGATTTATAGTATTTTTCAATTGTAGTATAATTAGTACAATTAATTGTAGAATAGTCAATTAATAGTTTCCCGCATTGTATATTGTTGTTCGGCAATACTTTTCGCTTTGCCCCGAAATGCAACACAAGTCTTCGGATGGAAGATGCTTCATTTTATCGCTTGTTTCCTGCTGATGCGGAGACTCTGGGTTTGTACCATAAGGTAAACTCATATTACGATTATTCCATGTAAACACCACATTTACCGGCTTAGTCGCGGTGAAAGTGAAACTTTAATTATGCATAGCGCTTAAAGTCACGTTAAAATTAAATGTTTACGGCCACAAGCAGCTGTTAGAAAGCAGAAAGATTGAGGACTTTCTAGAAGCAAGGATAAAATAAAATTTTGTGTAACCACCCTAACAAAACGATAGCTGAAATGTGGTACTTTATTCACTTAAATAAGTTTAATCTTACCATATCCAAAAACTCGCTCACTCTGCTGTTATTTAATAGATAAATGCACTACAATTGTATTGAATAATATGTGGAGGCATGTTTTTTAATTAAAATATTCATATTAATCAAGGATTCATTGACATTTAATGCACTTTATTTCAAAATGTCATATGTGCTTTAGTTATGATTATTTTATTTATTCACTACTTATTTATTATTAAAGGGGTCATATAATGTTATTTCAAGTTTTCCTTTCTCTTTGGAGTGTTACAAGCTGTTCGTGAATAGATAAGATCCCTGAAGTTGCAAAGACTAAAGTCTCAAATCCAGAGAGATATTCTTTATGAAAGTTAAGACTCGTCCACACCCTCCTAAAACGACTCGTTTAAACACATGTCTACATCACTATGTGGGAAGATTTGCATAACGCCGCCCAAATGTTCACGCAAAGAAAGAAGGCGTAACTTTGATTCTCGCTGTAGTATTGTTGCCACTGCCGCCATGTCCTGAAGACGCTGTGTGTTTCGTTGTGAAAGCGAAACTACTTTGTTTGGCCTTCCAAAAGAGGACACGACTAGAAATCAGTGGTTAAGTTGTATTTACAACACTGTTCCAGAACACTTCAACCCAAATATTCAGATGTGTGCAGCACATTTTATGTAGCCTACAATGCTGCTCTCAAAGGCTGTTTCTATA